TAATTTGCCAAATAAGGAAGGGAAAAGAAGTGTGAAGTTTATTTTGGACCTACCCAAAACGGAAAGTGTGAAGTTTATTTAGGACCGGAGGGAGTATAATATAAGGTAGCAGTGTTGTTACTACTGTTCAAAGAAAATTCCCGCCCAATCTATATACTACCTCTGTCCCTTAAAACTTTGCCAAAGTTGACCGGCACGGAGAATAATAAAGTAAAAACTGTGTGATTGAGGTTTGTGCAGAGGAGAGAGATATAACTGAAACCACAAAATAATTGATTAAAAGGGAAAGTGCAAAGTTTTTTGGGACGTCCCAAAAAGGAAAGATGGCGAAGTTATAAGGGACGAAGTGAGTATTATACATTTAAGAGTCATATTGGTGGAAACTTTTGCCACATGTCATTCCTTTAATCATTTGACACATGTCACTCTTACAACATCATTCACTCTCATGCTTCATCAATTTTACTTCTACTCCTCATAAATAGTATAATATCAATTATTGTATATTAATAATTGGCAGTAAAAAAAATTATCATGTAAATATAAATTGTTTCTATAAATATTCAAGAAATCTATATACGGAGTATTATACATTTAAAAGTCATATTGGTGGTAGCTTTTACCACATGTAATTCCTTTAATCATTTGCCACATGTCACTCTTACAATATCATTCCCTCATGCTCCATCAATTTTACTTCTACTTCACATAAATGGTATAATATCAATTATTGTATATTATTAATTGGTAGTAATAAAAATTATCATGTATATATAAATTGTTTCTATAAATATTCAAGAAATCACAAACATTCAACCGTCTTTGTTCCATGTTCTTTTAGGCTCCATGTAATCTATATCTAAATCTATATATTACTCCTTTAAGAGTCATATTGGTGGAAGCTTTTGCCATATGTCATTCCTTTAATCATTTGCCACATGTCACTCTTACAACATCATTCACTCTCATGCTTCATCAATTTTACTTCTACTCCATATAAATGGTATAATATAAATTATTGTATATTATTAATTGGTAGTAAAAAAAATTATCATGTAAATATAAATTGTTTCTATAAATATTCAAGAAATCACAAACATTCAATTGTCCTTGATCCATGTTTTTTTAGGCTCCATGGAATCTATATATTATACATTTAAGAGTCATATTGGTGGAAGCTTTTGCCACATGTCATTCCTTTAATCATTTTCCACATGTCACTCTTACAACATCATTCACTCTCATGCTCCATCAATTTTACTTCTACTCCACATAAATGGTATAATATCAATTATTGTATATTATTAATTGGTAGTAAAAAAAATTATCATGTAAATATAAATTGTTTCTATAAATATTCACGAAATCTATATATTATACATTTAAGAGTCATATTGCTGGAAGCTTTTGCCACATGTCATTCCTTTAATCATTTGCCACATGTCACTCTTACAACATCATTCACTCTCATGCTCCATCAATTTTACTTCTACTCCACATAAATGGTATAATATTAATTATTGTATATTATTAATTGATAGTAAAAAATTATCATGTAAATATAAATTGTTTCTATAAATATTCAAGAAATCACAAACATTCAATCGTCGTTGATCCATGTTATTTTAGGCTCCATGTAATCTATATCTATATATTATACATTTAAGAGTCATATTGATGGAAGTTTTTGCCACATGTTACTCCTTTAATCATTTCTCACATGTCACTCTTACAACATCATTCACTCTCATGCTCCATCAATTTTACTTCTACTCCACATAAATGGTATAATATCAATTATTGTATATTATTAATTGGTAGTAAAAAAATTTGTCATGTAAATATAAATTATTTCTATAAATATTCAAGAAATCACAAACATTCAACCGTCTTTGATCCATGTTATTTTAGGCTCCATGTAATTTATATATTATATATTTAAGAGTCATATTGGTGGAAGCTTTTGCCACATGTCATTCCTTTAATCATTTGTCACATGTCACTCTTACAATATCATTCATTCTCATGCTCCATCAATTTTACTTCTACTCCACATAAATGGTATAATATCAATTATTGTATATTATTAATTGGTTGTAAAAAATTCCCATGTAAATATAAATGGTTTCAATAAATATTCATGAAATCACAAACATTCAACCGTCTTTGATCCATGTTATTTTAGGCTCCATGTAATCTATATCTATATCTATATATTATATATTTAAGAGTTATATTGGTGGAAGCTTTTGCCACATGTCATTCCTTTAATCATTGCCACATGTCACTCTTAGAAATCATTCACTCTCATGCTCCATCAATTTTACTTCTACTCCACATAAATGGTATAATATCAATTATTGTATATTTTTAATTGGTAGTAAAAAAAATTATCATGTAAATATAAATTGTTTCTATAAATATTCAAGAAATCACAAACATTCAACCGTCTTTGTTCCATGTTATTTTAGGCTCCATGTAATCTATATCTATATCTATATCTATATATTATACATTTAAGAGTCATATTGGTGGAAGCTTTTGCCACATGTCATTCATTTAATCATTTGCCTCATGTCACTCTTACAACATCATTCACTCTCATGCTCCATCAATTTTATTTCTACTCCACATAAATAGTATAATATCAATTATTGTATATTATTAATTGGTAGTAAAAAAATTATCATGTAAATATAAATTGTTTCTATAAATATTCAAGAAATCACAGACATTCAACTGTCTTTGATACATGTTATTTTAGGCTCTATGTAATTGGTAACAAAATAAAGTGCCATAGAAAATAATCAATATAAACTAATGTTTGTACTATAAATCTTAACATGTACATATAAATTAGTTTCTATATTTTAAAAGTTACAATCATGTCTATCTGGGTTACCATCTACTCCATATAGTGTTTACAATCATGTCCTTCTTTACCATCATAATACACCATATTTACATCTCTAATCTCATTATAGTACAGAAAAATTGATAACAAAAATCTCAAATATTGTGAGTCCATTCACAATAATCCAAATTATTGATTTGTTTTTTTTTAAACTATTAATCCCTCTATATTTTAAATTTTGCTACACTTTTATTTTTGGGATGTATTTAAATTTTGCAAAACTTTTCCTTTTTAGTAAAGTTTTCTTAAGAAAATACTCAATCACCCTTTCTTTTTCTACTTTTAAATTTTAATCTTCTCTTTCATATTTTCACACCTTCTCTCCTATTTTTAGTACACTATTCATTACCCCTACTATTTTTCTTTTGAAATAATGTGCCAAAGCTAATGTAGAAATCTCTAAAATATGAAAGGGGTACTAAAATAAAACTTATTTATACAAATATGACTAATAGTTACTACAATATAGTGTCATAGTCATTTATGTTTAAAAATTGAACACAAGTGACCATGACCCAAATAATTGATGGGATTTTTCAAATGTAATACTAAAATAAAGCATATTTACACAAATATGACTAATAGTTTCTACAATATAGTGTCATTTAATTATTTCATTATTGATTATTTCTATACAATCTCAAGTATATGACTTGTCCACCAGTAATGGTCCATGATCGGGTATAACCTGCTATGCATGTGACTTTTAAATATATAGAAGCTTTGCATATTCTATAAATAATCCGAACTATAGTCGTTAATCTTTTAATAATCCCAATTAATCATCAAGACATTTATTTCACAAAACGTAGAAAAGTTTATAAAATGTTCAACATTAGGATTTTATGATATATAAATTTAACTAGATCTAAAAACGTACACATTTTAAAACCAAAAATATTACGTTTTATTGAAATTATTACTAAGTTAAATTATATAATTTACCATTTCACCTTATTGAAATTATTGTAATCTTATATTTATTTATCTTTATCTTATCCATTTTATCATAGTTTTTTTCTTCTTCTTGTATGACTTCTCTTTTTAGCATCGATATCATGGATCGATTCATGTTAGTCGACTCCAAAATCTTTTGGAATTAAGGTTTGAATTGAATGTCTATACCTTTTGTAACCTCGAATGTGCGCTAAGATTATAATTGCACATAGAATAATTTAAGAGGACTCTAAATTATTCTAGGACACTTTCACGCACACTTAATCGTTCGCCAAGAATTTGAAATGGTTAGGGAGCCGTACGCTCGCTCGTTTTGGCAATAATTTAGAAACTTATCGCATATATGAGAGATCAATTTGGTTGTTTAAATTATTGTACTCTATGCCGCGAGAGCGGTAAAAACTTAGTATTGACTTGTGTTGTTCACTTAAATAATTTTCATGTTTTTAAGCTTGATCAGTCCCGATATCTGGTTCCCTTTCGTCATTAATTTGAAAGAAGCTTTAATTTAGCTTTTTATTCACAATTCCTAATCATGCTATTCCCAATTCATTTCTTTAAAAATGGTTTCAATTGAAACAATGGAGATGTTATTTCCCTCTGTCTGTTGAACCATGTTTCGCATGGGATGGGACTAGATGCAATTGGACCCTTGTTCCTACATTTATGTTTGTGGATATGCATTCTCAAATCTCGTTAAGAGCATCTCTAATGGAGGGCTTTTAAAGTAATAAATTCGTCCATGTCATTGAGTGTGGAAATTGAATTATTTTTTCTCCTCCAATGCACTCTTTGTCTACCGGTGTTATGCTGATGTGTAAAAGTTAAATGAAAAACTTACTTTGTAATTTCTCATGGCCAGTTAAACAGTATGCCATACACTAGTAGAAAACTGGCTTACGGTGACACTTCATTAGTGACACTTTCTAATAAAGTGTCACTATTAGACGACATATAGTATAAACAATACATAAGTGTCATACGTTTATGACACAAAAAACTCAACAAATAATAGTGACACTAAATAAAAGAAGTATTGAATTTTAACATTAACAAATATTCACTTTTCCTTTCCCTCCCAAAAATATACTCCCCGCCATCTAGTTTTAGTAACCCCACACCAAAACTTTCTTTCCTTAGCAAAACTTTCTTTCCTTAGCAAAATAAACCCACTGCACCATATACCACCTAGCTTTATTCACTCTTCGAATTGAAGAAACCCATAGCGCATATAACCCTAGTGAAGAACACCTACAACGGCTAAATGTCGGTCGATTTGATTCCCTTCTCTGCTAAATACCATCGCCGCTGTTGAAGGCTGCGAAGAACACCATCGACGGCTCTCGATCGTCAGGTAGCTTGGGAAGAACATCATTGGTACGGTCAATCTCCATCTTCTGCGAAGAACACCACCGACGGCTCTCAATCGTCAGGTAGCTCTTCTCCATCTGGTTTTTGGTTTTGGTGTAGGGGGATAGGCCTGGGGGTGAGTTAGTTTTAGTATGACCTGGGTTTAGGTCAGTATAACCTGGGTTTGATGTTGGGGGATTTGGGAAGCTTGAGGGGGTGACAGTTGTTGTGTTTGATGGGTTCGGGTAGTAAGGGAGTTTGGGGTTTGGTTTGGGGGATCTAGGATGCTTGAGGGGGGTCGTAAAACTGTAAAGAGGGAGTTTGGGATGTTTCAGGGAGATTGAAGTACTGTAGAGGAATATGGGGGTGTTGGGGTTGGGTTAGGACTTCAGATAATTATTGGATGGATTACAGGATGAATTTCAGTTTCTATTATTGTTATTATTGGATGGATTATGGACTTCAGATTCTAATGTAGTCGTTTTATTTTCACTTTCCGGAGATTTAGTGATTTGGCGTTGTTTAACTGATTTGTGATTCTAAAGATAAGGTCTGAATTAGACAATGCTAAGATGAAAGAGAAGCATCAATTCCCGGCACTAGCAGGGTCTATGTGTGAGTCTGGGATGACATATTTTCAAGGACTACACTTGTTTTGGGAGGGAAGTATGTTTACTTCAAAAAGTGAGAGTCTATAATACGACACTGAAAATAAAACGTCTTCTTAAGTGATTTGTGATTTGTGATTTCACTTTCTGAGAGTCTATGCTCTTCTCCCGCATAGACTCTACTATTTAAGTTGTTGTTTAATACAACAGTAGATTCTTTTATTATTAATTAGTTGGTTGTTTTTGGATGTTATAACTATTTTCCTTCATAGTGACAGTTTCTTCTGAAATTGTGGATAAGCTCTTTAATATTTGGATGGAACTAACTCCTTTTAACCTTATACTATGTGAAAAGAAGCTCACTGCTTATATCCTAAAGCTACTGCAGTTTCAATTTATTAGGTTTACTACAATTAATATCTCACCAAACTTAAGGAACCATCTTTATCATCTATAGAAGAAATCATCTAAGTATATGAGATAATTAGAAACACTTCTTATGGCTTATAGAAAACTACTACTTTTTTTAATGCAATTTCACTTTATTAGTTAAGACTGTTGTTTTCCTAATTTGCAAAATCTCCAAAGGCTTCTTTTAAGATCAAATATATGGATTGACTATTCAGGCACGCACAATCTACAAATATTTTGTTTCAGCTAACTTATAGCTTCCTCAAGAGGTATGTTTCTGAAATTGTTTGGTGCTAAAAATTCAATACATTATTTGGTTAATTTTTGAACTGATTAAATCATTACCATGATTGTATGTTTGTATATGATCGAAATGGTTGCATGAGTAAAACTTTGTGGTGCTCAAATTAAAATTCAGTCTAGTATGTACACTCGGTAAAACACATGTATTTTTGTAAAGTACTCAAAGCTCAATCCTAGTAGTACACTCATATGTGGTCTTGAAATAGTAAAAATAAAACAGTCAAGACTAACTTGAATAATATCTGTGGTCTATAAATTAGTAGTAATATATAAAAAACAAAGAAGCGCTATGTAGGATGTATTTTATTTTTTTTGTAACTCAATTATATATCAGGTAACATTCAAATGGAGAAATCATGGATAAAGAATGACCATAGCTTGTCTGAAGAATACACAGATGGAGTCAATGATTTCATAAACTTTGCTATGCTTAACCCCGAAAATCGCAGATCACTTAGATGTCCCTGTAACACGTGTTGCAACATGGACTTTCACAGTCCTGAAAAAGTTAAAGTCCATTTTCTTAAATATGGGTTTCTGAATACGTACCTTGTTTGGAATTGGCACGGGGAGGTTGAAAAAACATCATTTTCTTTTCACTCACAGTCAGCACTTCATGATCAAAGCAAACTTGAGGACATGTTAGGTAATGTTTTTGAACAATTTGGTAGTCACCCAAAGAATTTTAGAGATGTAGTTGAAGATGCCGAAAAGCCATTGTACTCAGGTTCAAGTTATTCGAGGATCCGGGTTAATGTTGTTGTATAATATAAAGGGGAAATATGGGTGGTCTGATCAAGGATTCACTGCTTTGTTAGAAGCTATTTCAAACTTATTACCCGCAGAAAACACCATTCCGAAATCTATGTACGAAGCTAAGAAAATACTGAAAGTGTTAGGGCTAGGCTTCCAGAAAATACATGCTTGTCGAAATGACTATATTCTTTTCCATAAAGAGCACGCTGATCTTGACAAGTGCCCAACATGTGGAGAGTCTAGGTGGAAGGGAAAAAAACGGAGCTATAACAGCTATCAATAAAATTCCAGAGAAAGTTCTTTGGTATTTTCCTCTCATTCCTCGGTTTAAACGTATGTTTCAGTCACCGAACACCGCTGAATACATGACATGACACGCAAACAAACACATCAAAGATGGAAAACTGCGCCATCCAGCGGACTCTCCTGCTTGGCATCATATTGATAACACATGGCCTGATTTCGGTGTAGAGTCTAGGAATCTAAGATTAGCTCTTTCAAGTGACAGAGTTAATCCACACAGTTCCCTTAGCTATAAAATATAGTTGTTGGCCCGTTCAGTTAGTAGTTTATAATCTTCCTCCTTGGTTGACTATGAAGAGAAAATTCATGATGTTGTCTCTATTAATATCTGGGCCTAAACAGTCGGGCAGTGATATAGATGCGTATCTAAATCCCTTGATTGATGACCTAAAACCCCTCTGGAATGATGGAGTAGATGTTTATGATGGGTTTAGAAATGAAACCTTCAACTTAAGGGATGTATTGATGTGGACGATTATCGATTTCCCGACATATTCCAACTTGAGTGGGTGTACTGGAAAGGGGTATTACGCATATCCAGTTTGTGGTCCTTCAACCTCCTCAACCTGGCTAAAATGCAGTAAGAAGTGTGCTTACATGGCTCACCGTCGTTTTTTGCCTCATGATCATAAATTCAGAAATATGAAAAAATTGTTCAACAATGAAGTTGAAAGAGAAGGACCTCCTGCAACATTGTCGGGTCAAGATGTCCTTAAACTGGTTGAAGATATTAATTATAAGAGTGGAAAGCGAAAGGGAGTGAAGAGAAAGCGTACGAAAAAGAATGAAGGCGTGAAAAATAAAATGTTTAAAAGGAAATCAGTTTTTTTTATTTGGATTATTGACAACATTTATTAATATCACATCTCTTAGATGTGATGCACATTGAGAAAAATGTGTGCGAGAGCATCTACGGGACGCTACTTGATCAATCCACAAAGACAAAAGATGACATTAAGGCTCGGAATGATCTTCTTCATATGAAGATTAGGAAAAAGTTAGTTCCCGATGATAGTTCTAATTCCTTACCTCCAGCACCATACACCTTGTCCAAAGCAGACAAAAAACAGTTCTGCCAAACCATATTGGATATCAAGGTTTCAGATGGTTATTCTTCAAATTTGAAAAGCATAGTGTCTGAAGATGACAATCTTCTTCAAGGTCTTAAATCACACGACTGCCATACCCTGATGCAACAAATTCTTCCTCTAGCCATTCGTAACTTGTCTCTCTCAAAAGATGTTACCAATTCTATATCAGATATGTGTCTATTTTTCAATTCATTATGTGAGAAGGTGTTGGATAATGATGCACTTGACATACTAGAGGCTAACCATTGGGTTACACTATGTTGCTTGGAGCAATATTTCTTGCCTGCGTTTTTTGATATAATAATGGTTCACTTAACTGTTCATCTCGTTGCCCAAGTCCGGTTGTGTGGACTAGTTTACCTATGTTGGATGTATCCTTTTGAACGATTCATGAAGTTTTTAAAAGGTTATGTGCGTAACCATTACCATCCAGAGGGATGCATGGCTGAATGCTATGTGGCAGAGGAAGCGTTAGAGTTTTGTGCTGAATATCTTTCAAATCATGAGGCAATTGGATTACCTGTGCATTCCGATGAGGATGGGCCACCTGAAAGGCCGGTAGGACGTGGTGACACGCAGACTGTTGATTCCTCACTACTTGAGCAAGCACATTGTACCGTGTTGTTTAATACCCCTGAAGTCCAACCTTATGTACATTATGGCTTAACTTTTATAAAACTTACTTAATTTTCCTTCACTTCCATATTTAATGATTTTTCTAATATTAAATGATAGAGAACACATGGATATATTACAGACACGATATTGGTTGTTGTGAAACGGAGAATTATCGTACATTTGTTAACTGGTTTGATGAGAAGGTTGATAAATCTAACCTTATCTATACACATAACAAATAATTAGAGTCAAATGTACTTAAAATTTTATATTTCTTTGTAGGTTCGTGTTGATGTTGCGAATGGTGTGACTGTCCCTCAAACAGTGAGGTGATTAGCTAAAAAGCCTAACACAACAGTGACAATATACTCAGGCTATAATATAAATGGTTTTTCCTTTGTAACTAAGGATCGAGATTCGAATCGGGTAACACAAAACAATGGTGTTAGTCTCGTGACAGAAACTGTTCAAGTTTCCAGCTCTAAGGATAAAACTCCTTGTTTAGCATCGATGAATTATTATGGGGTCCTTGATGAGATTCGGCTCTTGAACTATCTAATGACTAAGAGAGTTTTTTCAAGTGTTCTTGGGTAGATAGTAGGCACGTGAAAACTGACAAGTTGGGCTTCACGGTAGTGGATCTTAATAAGATAGGTCAAAAAATGATTGTTTCATTTTAGCTTCCCATGTCAAACAAGTTTTTTATGTGAGAGATCAAGTTGATCCTAAAAAATCAATAGTGTGTTCAGTTGGGCAGAAGGTTAGTAATGGTATGGATGTTGACAGTGATGAAATGATATTACACGAACCTTTAACTTCACAATACCCAAACCATTTCAACGATGTGGAAGCTGAAGATGATGATCAAATTTAGCATAGGATTGACATTGATGCAATTCCAGTACTCAATGAGTCTCAATTACCCTTATTTATGTACTTCGTTCAGTAAGTTATAAGCGTACTTGAATCATTCTTCTGTTGTGATTCATTACTTTTTTATTTTCAGTTATTAAATAGTAATCGTATTTTTGTATTATATGTCTACAAGTGAAAGCAAGCCATGTCAAAGAATGAAGAAGTCATGGATGATTTTGATGTGGACGAGGGGTTGGATGATTTGGGCCAATGCCCTAAAAGGAGACAAAAGACAACGAACAAAATGATGCTAAAGAAATTTGTAGATGATAAGGTGGTGGTAAAGGTGAATAGGTTTGGTGTTCATGCAGGTAAAGAATGGACAGAGCTGGCCAATTATATTGGTGTCGTAGTGCGGGATCATGAATGGAGACATGTGGCAGTTAAACTTAAAGAAGAAATGTGGAATCATCTTAAGGTAATAAATAATGTTTGTAGAAAACAAGGCTATATTTCAGTATTTAAACTCTTAATCTTCTAGAGGGCTAACAATGTTATATTAAATTGTATGTAGGAATTGTTCGTGTTGAGTGAGAATTCAAAAAAGCATGTCTTAGCTACTATGAGTGATGGAGTATATGGGTCTAAGCCCCAGGACACACATACTCAGAAGAACAGAAAGCACAAGACACTGAGTGGTGCCCTCGTCGGCCAAGGGACCCCCGCCGGCCGGAAAGGTACCAACTCAGAATATGGTCCTGAATCCAAGGAACCCGGGTGCCCTCGTCGGCCGCGCCCTCGTCGGCCACGAAGACCTCACAGAACCGGATTTTACACTTACTCATTTGTATAGCCCATTAGTGGCTTTGTATTCGGCCCAGTAGCGGTCCAGTTGTAAATGGGCCTCCCAAGCCCAAGGCTTGGGAGCCCAGCCCGTATTTTCCCTATAAATACTTCCTCTGGAGGTAGTTATCAGGGTTACAAAATCATTCTATTGAAACATATTATTGCACTTCTCTCTCTAGCTCTCACTTCTCTCTAGATATACTCTATCATTTGGTGCTCTCGTTGAGAGCTAGAACAATCAAGTTAGCACCCTTCGTCGCTACCAAGCACAGCTAACCACTGATCATGGGAAGAACTAAATCAAACCGTAACCTCGTCAGCAAGGCCATCCCTGAGGACCAGGAGGCCAGGGAGCACGAGGAGGATGCTACGGCCGACCAGGTCGGCGGAGGGGACGTCTTCCTGGAGGCCATCAACCTCACGACGGACCTCCGCAACCAACTCAACGGAGGAGCCCCTGATGCCCGCATCGGCTTGGACAAGAGACGAGCTGAGAAGACAGACCACGCCCCGGCCCAGCCTATGGCCGCGGCCTCTCCGTCTGTGGATCCACAGGTCCAGGCCGCGCTGTCGGTCATCATCGCCAGCTTGGCCCATAACCCCACCGTCCTCAGCGCGCTCTTGCCAAGGACCGGGGGGAACGTCACTCCACCTCCTCAGCCCCAATCGTTGGCCGTCCAGCTAGGCAACGATGAGGGGTGGTGGCCCAGGATACGGCGTCGTCCCGCTCCCACCCCGCTTCCCCTCTTCGGCCTGGGCAGACCCCAGCGCGTGGAAAAGCCTCTGCCTTCAATAGGCTGGGTGACACGCGCCGTCGTCCGGTTTCGGAGAGGATGGCAGGGCGGATTGGTGAGCGTCGGCCTGTCTCGCCAAGGGAAAGCTTGGGGTCTGTGTCCCGGACAGCGGACCAACCCCGCCCGGACAAGGGCAAGGGGAAGCTGCACGAGGACGACGTGCGCCACCAGATCAATGAGGCTCACGACGAGCGCATGAGGAACCAGCAGGGCGCCGCTACGGCCGCCAGGGACCCTCGGGACGAGGTCATCGCCCAGCTGGAGGCCAGGCAATCAGCCAACACCCCCACGGCTGGCGCCTCCAACGACCGCGGCCTCAACGCTCTCATGAACAAGGTCAGCGCCCTGGAGAGGGAGTTGGCCGAAGGGCGAGGTGACCCCATCATCCAGGTCAGGAGCAGGACCCCTTTCACCAACAGGGTGCTCTCGGCCCCCATCCCGGAAAAGAACAAGGGGAACGCCATCAAATCCTACGATGGTCGATCAGACCCCCAGGAACACTTCAGCCGTTATCAGAACAACATTCTGATGGTGAACGCGTCAGACGAATACCTCTGCCGTTGGTTCCTCTCTACTCTTGAGGGGCCAGCGTACGAGTGGTTCAACGCGCTCCCCGAAGGGAGCATTGACTCATGGCAACACCTTGCCCAACGCTTCCTCACTCACTTTGCCGGGAGGAAGCGCGCAAAGAAGTATTTCACCCACCTCCTCTCCGTCAAGCAGCAACATGATGAGTCCCTCCGGTCGTTCATTGATCGATGGACGAGGGAGACCGAAGAAGTCGAGGGGGCCGATGAGCGCACCCTCCTCGCCCTGTACCAGGGAGCCCTCCGCAGCTCCCTATACGCCAGGAGCCTCATCACCGACCCTCCAAGGTCGTATGCCAAGGCGCTCCAGCGCGGAAGCTTGTACGCCGACGCCGATGAGCTCCACAACCACAAGAAAGAGGGAGGTCATCCCTCCAAGAAGACAAATCCTTCGCCGGCCCTGGGTCCGTCCCCGGCCGACCAGGGTGCCCAGGGCCGTCACGGCTCTGGTAGACAAAGTAAGAAAGATCGCCACTGGCGGCCGAGGTTGGAACGGCCGGGAGTTGCCCTCACTCACCCGGTCGGCACCATCCTCGACTATGCCGAGAAGCACGGCCTCATCGAGCAGGCTCCTCGGCCGGCCGAGGAGGTCCTTGCCATCCAGCAGGGCGGCACATACTGCCGGTTCCACAAGAACTCCTCGCACAACACCGACGACTGCATCACGCTGAAGAAGGCCATCGAGCGTCTTATTCGTCAGGGGGAACTCTCCCAGTTTGTTAAAGGTGGCCCACGCAAAAATACATAGGTAAACACCGGCAAACCAGGGGGCGGACCCTCTACGAAGAAGCGGGAGATTGGCAGGCTCAGCGACGACGAGGACTTCGAAGAGCCCCCGCCAAAGAAGAATCACATTCACCTCATTGTGGGTGGGAACACTGGGGGGGACTCCGTCACCCAGAGAAAGAAATGGTCCCAATCCCTCTACATAGGGGAGGTGTCCCACGTTCCCCCCAGCCGAAGAAGCAGCGAACGGAGGCGATCACCTTCACCGACAAGGATCTGCCTCCGGGTACGGAATCACATAGGGATGCCCTCGTCGTCCGGTGTGAGATCGGTGACACCATCATCCACCGCACTTACATCGATACGGGGAGCTCCGTCAACGTGATGTACCTGGACACCTTCAGGCAGCTGAAGCTGGACAAAGCTCTGCTGAAGCCGATCAAGACACCGTTATCCGGCTTCACCGGGGACTCTATCAACGCCGAGGGCACGATAGTCCTCCCCGTGGAGGTCGGTGACGGCCCCCACCGCGCCAAAATTGACATGGAGTTCATGGTGGTCCACCTCCAGTGTGCCCACAACCTGATCTTAGGGCGGCCAGCACTGGAGGACTTGGAGGCCATCATCTCCATGAAGCACTTGTGTCTGAAGTTCCCCACCAATGACGGCATCGGCTACGCCAGAGGAAACCAGAGGATAGCCAGAGCATGCTACCTCAACCTAACGAGGCCGGCCGAGAGGGAAGGACAGAGGATAGACACCATCACGGCAGCCGTTGCCATGGACGAGGAGAGGCCGCATGCTGAACCAGCCGAGGAAGTCCCTCTGGATACCTCCCGGCCGGAGCGGGTTCTCAGAATCAGGAGGCAACTCCCGCAGGACCAGCGGGACGCCATCCTCCTCGTCCTACGGCCGTACGCCATTGTCTTCGCGTAGGGCCCGGACGATATGCCAGGCATCAGCCGCCAGGTGATCACTCACCGGATGACCGTCGCTCCGGCCTCCGCGTCTGTCAAGCAGAAGCGGCGCTACTTGTCCGCCGACAGGCGGTACTTCGTCAAAGGGGAGGTCGCCATGCTCCTCTCAATCAACCACATCAAAGAGGTGAAGTACCCGACGTGGCAGGCCAACGTCGTCCTCGCCCAAAAACCGCCAACATTCAGAATGTGTGTTGATTACACTGACCTGAACAAGGCGTGCCCCATGGACCCGTTCCCTCTCCCCAACATTGATCAGCTTGTCGACGAGACGGCGGGGTGCGAGTTGATGTTGTTCCTCGACGCTTTCAGAGGCTAACACCAAATCTTCATGCATGAAGATGACGCTGAGAAGACGACATTCATGACCCCAGAGGGAATCTTTTGTTACCTCGTCATGGCCTTCGGACTCAAAAACTCCGGCGCCACCTATACCAGGATGGTGGCAAAGATCTTCAGAGCAGTCCTCGGCCGTACGATGGAGGCATACGTCAACGACATGATCGTCAAGAGCAGGCAGGCCTCCACCCATGCTGACGACCTCCGGGAAATCTTTGAAATCATGAAGGAGTTCAGGCTCCGCCTCAACCCCAAGAAGTGCGCCTTCGGCGTCCAAGGCGGCAAGTTCCTCGGCTACATGGTCAGCCGGAGAGGCATTGAGATACACCCGGAGAAGACACAGGCTATCATCAACATGGAGCCGCCCCGTAACGTCAAGGAAGTACAACGCCTGACGGGGCGCCTGGCGGCCCTGAACCGTTTCCTCTCCAGGTCAGCCGAAAGGGCACTCCCCTTCTTCCAGATCATGCGTAAAGCCAACAGCTTCAAGTGGACGACGGAGTGCCAGGAAGCGTTCGAAGAGCTGAAGAGGTACCTATCGTCCCCGCCCGTGCTCTCCAAGCCCAAAGCCGGCGAAACCCTCTTCTTGTACTTAGGGGTGAGCACGTCGGCCATCAGCTCCGTGCTCATCCGTGAGGACGAAGGGGTGCAGAAGGCCATCTTCTACATCAGCAAGACACTCAGGGAGGCCGAACTCAGGTACTCCCCCATTGAGAAGACGGTGCTTGCCATCGTCCATACGGTGAAGAAGCTGGGGCACTACTTCCAGGCCCATGTCGTCCATGTGCTGACCCAGCAGCCCCTCGACGCGCTCATGAGGAGCCCCACTAGCTCCTCAAGGATGGTGAAATGGGCGATCTTCCTCAGTCAATTTCAGATTGAAATCAAGCCAAGGCCATCCATCAAATGGCAAGCTTTGGCCGACTTCGTCACCGAATGCACGGCAAGGGAGACAGCCGCTACCGCCCCCGGACCAGAGCCCGATGACACATGGATCCTCTTCACTGACGGCTCGTCGGCCGCAAAATCATGCGGTGGCGGTGTCGTCCTCATATCCCCTGAAGGATTCAGAGCTTACTATGCCATCCGCTTCAACTTCACGGTATCCAACAATGAAGCCGAGTATGAGGCCCTCCTCAGCGGCCTCAGACTCGCCGCTGGCCTCAGAGCCCGACACATCAAAATCAGGTGCGAGTCCAAGCTGGTAGTGGGCCAGGTTGAGGGTACGTACGAAGCAAAGGAAGGCCGAATGAAGCAGTACAAACAAGCAGCGGAGGAGCTGCTGAAGGCGTTCGAAACCCACGAGATCACACAGATCCAAAGGGGGCCGAGAACGCCGAGGCCGACATCCTCTCCAAACTCATCTCGGACACCCCGGAGCACATCTCCCAGCTAGCCAAGATCGAGGAGTTGAGCATGTCCAGCATCCATGTCAGCCCCGTCTTGTGTGTCCAACAGCGACCGGAGGACTGGATCTCCGACATCATCACCTTCATCACGACGGGGGAGCTGCCCCCGGACGAGGAGAGGGCCAAACTCGCCAAACTCAGGGCCCCAAGCTACACCATTGAAGATGGCAAACTCTACAAACGATCCTATAATGGCACCCTCCTTCGATGCCTGCACCAGGATGAGGCCGACGTGGCCATGGAAGAAGTTCATTGTGGTGTTTGCTCCTCGCACCAGGGCCCTTTCAGCATGTCCCGGCGTCTCGTCGTCCAGGGCTTCTTCTGGCCGACGATGGCGCGAGACTCTGTGGACCTGGCCAGGAAGTGTACCACGTGCCAGATACTCCAGAAGGCCCCTGGTCGGCCAGCCGTCAACTACGCCCCCGTCAGCACTGCTATTCCGTTCTCAAGATGGGGATTGACCTGGTCGGCCCTCTGCCCAGAGCTGCCGGCAACAACCGCTACATCATCGTCGCAGTCGACTACTTCACTAAGTGGGTCGAAGCGGAACCCTTGGCCAGCATCACGGGGGCCAGGTGTCAGAAGTTCGTTCACAAGAACATTCTCACCCGCTTTGGTGTCCCCCAAGAGATCATATCCGACAACGGCACCCAGTTTGAAGCGGCGCCCTTCCAGGAGATCCTCCGAGAATGGGGGATAAAACACCGTTTCTCCTCCGTTGCCTACCCTCAAGGCAACGGGCAGGTTGAGAACGCCAATAGAACCATCATGGAGGGGCTGAAGAAGAATCTCCAGGACGCAGGAGGTAGTTGGGTCGACGAGCTCCCCAACATCCTGTGGTGTTATCGGACCACGCCGAGGAGGGCGACAGGTGAAACGCCCTTTGCCCTGTGCTATGGCTTTGAAGCTAAGGCACCCACAGAGGTCACCATTCCCAGCCGACGAGTGGAGCAGTATGACCCAGAGGTTAATGAGGAGAACATGAAAATCGACCTCCACCTGGTCGAAGATAGACGCGAGCAAGCATTCATCCGAGCAGAGAACTACCGGCGTCAAGTAAAATCATACTATGACGCCAAGGTACGCTCGAGGGAATTTCAGGTGGGGGACTACATCCTCCGCCGAAGGGAAGCAATCCAGCCGACGGAGGGTGGCAAGCTAGCATTGAAGTACGAAGGGCCCTACATCGTCAGTGCCGTGGTCAAACCCGGCACCTACAAGCTTAAACGCCCGAATGGGTCCAATGTACCACGAACGTGGAATGTACACCATCTGGTGAAGTTTTATCAGTAATCCGAAGGAGGTGCAGACGGCGAAGCCCTCACCCCATAACGGGTTACTGATTGAACGCCACCCTCGGCCTCGAGCCACTTATGAATAAAATCATGTTCCTCTTGATTTTTTCTTTGGAATTTAAAGTAAAATATTAGCAGATGCCCTCATCAGCCACCTTAGAGCGAAAGACTCAGGTATGGCCGACGTGGCACCTTGCATTTGCAGCCTACGAGCGACAAGCTCAGGCATACTCCATTGTATTTTGTATCAGCGAAGGGCTCAGGCCTAGCTGAGAGAGCACATCGTCCTGGCCCCGTAAGCCTAGAGTGAAACGCTCAGGTATGGCCGACGATGTCCCCAGGACGATGGGCCCGCAAACGGCCCGCGTCTTGAAATGGGAAGTTCACCGCGTCGTCCACGCGCCAGATCGCAGGACGACATGCCTGAAATCATGGCCGAGGTGGCAGAATCCCCCCACTCAGGGTTGGGCAACGGCAGCCGTTGGAAACCAACTAAAAGTCTAGCCCGCGTCATAAATAGGCGACGAGACCCCCCTGAGATCACGGACGTTATAAACGAAGTCCGAACCGGCCGAAGGACGAGCACACCCTTCGGCCGAAGCCTGAAAGAAGGATACTCCCCGAAATAGGGAACGAAAACGGAAATAAAAAAAAATAAAAAAAAAGAGGGAAGCCGAGGACCGCGCGCACTTGCCGGCCTCGAGCAATGAAAAAATAAAATCCCCACAACTCATGCCAAACTTGGCTAAGTACATATCAGTTGATCATAAGTGTAGTACCACTAACAGGTGACATGGACGACACGGCCACACGGCCATCACACCACAAGGGAATTGTCAAGGACGAAGCATACGCCTATAAAACCCTAACCAGAGTGGTTGGGTGACACGCGAGTGGTAACCTTCATCGGCCACAGCTTTTTGAAGCACCAACACTTAGTATGAAATAAAGAATTACAATCCTGAAGATGACCACCGGAAAAATTGCCCAGGACGTAGCCGGCAGTATTACACCCGCGGAAGAGTTAAGCATTCAAACAACAATCCCTACCGGCCACAACATTCCGGATGGCCGTTACAGGCACTAAAACCCAGGCGGTTGGCCAAGCGGAAGATCTTTGGGAATATTTGTCCAAGTGTTTACCAAACACTTAGAGAAAATTCCTGAGGAAAAAGGTTCCTTAAGAGAATTCCGACACTTAGAGAAACTCTTGAGGAAAGCAAAAGGCACCCTCATCGACCACAAAGCCAGACCTTGGCCGATGAAGGTAGGGCCGTCTCTTGGACGACAACGGTACCACACATAAGAAACTATGTCTTGCATTTATACTTAGAAAAATCTCTAAGTATTTAAAGGGAGAACCTCTAGACGAAGCGGGCACCTGAGTACTCGCAGGCCGTTAGCTACCTATGTCTTGCATTTGTACTTAGGAAAATTTCTATGTTCAAAGACCTAAGTTCAAATGACCCAAGGCAAGAAACGAAGACATACAAGGCCGAAGGGGACAACAACCCGTGCACCCCTATCGGCCACAACACCAGGATGATGAGAACACCCACCTACTTGAAGTTGGGTACTTAGAAAAATTCTAAGACCAAACAACAAAAGGAATGAGACAATGACAAGACGCAGCGGACACCCCAGCATGTCCGCTTCGGTCATGACGGAAAGGAAGCACCTAAGTGGATCTCAAACACTTGGAAATTTTTTGAAGAAATCCCAAGTGTTGCGACAACGAAGAAACGGCGGACAGGCCGATAAGGCCACCAGACTAAATTGACTACCTTACGGACGCAGCAAACACTCGCGGGTGACCTAAGTTGTTAACTTAACACTTAGACAAATTTCAAAATAGAAAAGGCAAAGGAAACAAGCATAGACATCAACAGCCGAAGAGGCTGGCAGAGCATTCATTCATCAAAATGTTAATTACAAAAGGGGGCGCTACGGCCATTACATTCAGTTGGGCAAACATTGGGATGCTATTAATTACAAATAAAAGATAAGGGGATGGCCGATCACGCCTCCTGGGCGCCCTCATCTGCAACATGCTCAGCATGGGTCTGCTCATCGGCATCCTCGGTTTCCTCCTCGGCCTCAGTGTCCTGACCGACAGCGACTGCAGAGCTCGTAGCGTCGTCGAAGAAATCAAACTCATCGTAGTCCGGCTCGCCGAGGCCGGAACTATCGATCGGGGCCTCCCTTTCCGAAAGAGGGAGCTTGGCCTGCTCCTCGGGATCCTTCATCAGCCTGGGAAGCCTCAGGAGCTTTAAGGTCACGCGCCTCGCCCACCTAGAGGTGTAGTTCATCGCTTTAAGGGCACGCGCCAGCCGCCAGCACAGGAGCCTCTGCATCCGTTGTTGGCCCATGTTGTAGTACACGGACATCTCCCTTTGAAAGTACTCCTGGCCGGCGGGGGAGTTCATTCCCCAATCCTCGAGCTTGGCGGCTACAACTTCATAGCACCAGGGGAGCCGCTCGTCGGCCTTCCAGCCCTCGGCCAGGAATTTTTGGACGGCCTCATTAGCGGCCTTCACAGCAGCAGCCTCGGCCTCAATCTTAGCCTTCACGGCCTCAGCAGTCCTGCGCCGCTCAACCTCAAGTGCCCTCTGGCTCTCCGCAAGCTTGGCCAGGGCATCGTCCTTGGCTGCAGCAGCCTCATCGGCTCTCTTCTGCAGAGCTTTGGCATCCTCTCGAAGCCGATCCAAGCAGGCCATCGCCTCATCGGCCGAGGCAGCCTTTTGCTCGAACTCCTTCAGGTGAGCAATCTCCCGTTGCTGCCTTTTGTGGCTCTCCATGAGCATAAAAGCACCCTGCAAAACAAAGGCAAACCAAAACTCAGGCAATGACTTCACACAGACGACAAGGAAAACAACAAGTCAAAGGGAAAGGAACTTACTTGGACGACGAGGTCCATCCCGCCGTCATAAATCTTGACGTCCCCGAGCTTGTTGAGGTAGACTCGATCCTTGACCGGCATGGCCTGGGCAAGCACATCATGGCCGTCAACGCCATCATCGAAGACACCCCCGCCAACGGGGTACTCCACCACTTTCTGGTAAGTGGCAGTGGCAATCTCCTTGCCAGCCCGTTTCATCCGAGTCTCCTGGACGAGAGGGAGCGGTTGAACAACGGCGCTGGAAGGAGCAGCGGTAAGATCCACAATGGCGACATCAGCGCCAGAACCACCATCGTCCACATTTGGGACGGACAGAACGCCGACCTCATCGGCAAGGGAAGGAGACGGCGCCCTCTTCGTCTTCTTGGCGGGCTTCAGACCAGTCTCGGTCAGCTTTTTCTGGCCGTCAGTGGGAGGCCGTTTCTTCTTTGACTGGGCAGGCTTCGGGACCACACCAGCAGCAGCCTCGCCTCCCTCAGCCGCGGCACGCCTTGCCGCCTCGGCCGCCTCCGCAGCCAGCTCCTCGACCGCCTTGGCCTTGGCTATGGCCATTATCGAACGGTGATCCATCACAAAGTCTACACAAAGGAAAATAAACAGGTTAGCAAGGTAAAGGAACAAAAACAAAGGAAGAAAGCCGGAGGAGGTATTACCATCGGCTTCAGCAGGAATGCCCAAATCCGGGCCGTCGGCCTCCTCAAAGGTAGTGGTCATCCTCGGCCACAGTTGGGCATCGTCCTCCTTGTCACCATACACATAATATCTGAAGAAGCCGAGAGCGGTCATCTTATATTCGGTAATGTAATCTTTCACGCTCCTCGGCCCCCCGTCCAAGAACGCCTCCACCTGAGCGTCCAAGATCGAACTCTTCGGCGGGTCGTGCAGATTGGACCTCCCAGTATGGCCGAGAGAGGGAAATTCAGTGCCGTTCTCACCAAGGGACACGAACACAAACTTACTCTTCCAACCATGGATGGACGAAGGCAAGCGCGTGAAGCTCCTCTTCTTCGGCAATTGTTGGAGGGTAGCGTAGGCCGCACAGTTCTTGTGGCTTCCTCGGCCAATCTGGTAGAGGTTCATGAAGAGAGCTGTCGTCGGCTTGTAGCCCAACTCTTCACAGCGGAGCAAGAATCCCACCATCAACGAATAGTTGTTCGGGGTCAGCAAGGCCGGAGGAAGTCCCACCATGTCCAAGTATTCCGTGATGAAGGGATGAAGGGGAAATCTCAGCCCCTTAGCGAAGCTCATCGGGTACACTCCGAAGTATCCCGGTGGCGGATGAAGTACATGGTCCGTCGGCCTGGGTGCCTTAACTCTCCCAAACGGCCCCACATACATCTGCGCGACTAGGTAATCGGCCGCGTTGCTCTCCGGCTTGATGAGGTAGATGTTCGTGAGATCCAGGTGGGAGTACCCTGGCCCACTCCTCGGCCTCCTTACCCTCTTCGGCCTCTCTGCTCCCTTCACGGCGGACACCGGCTTCGGGCACGGAATAGCAGTGGAAGTGGACGCCCCGTCCACCACTCGGGACGCACCTGCGTCCTCGCCTTCCGAAGACGAGGCAGACTCCTCGTCCTTACCCTCGTCGTCCTCTGGCTCTCCGGACTTATAGGGGCTCAGGTGCTCTATTTCCTCCTCAAACTCCTCAAGCACCTCGTAGTCAAGGGACCTAGTGGAGGGCTGGTCGTCGTAGGGGTAGTACTCCTCGTCCAAGCTCTTCATCTTACAACTAATAACGCCCTAAAGGTCTCTACTTTGGATCTAAGTGTGAATCCCCTATTAACACTAGATCAAAGGCCTAGGAAGCAAAGTATATGAAATATGAAAGGAACAGGTGAAGAACTGACCTTCGAATATTTGAAGAAACGGAAGAACACTTGAACAAACACCTCAGAGACTCTCTCTCTAGAAATTTCAGCAGCACTTCGTGGGCACAGATTGCAAATGAGGTTACCGCATCGGAAGGGGAGGGGTATTTATAGACCTCCTCTCCAACGGTCACTACACGTGGCACCATATCAGTGGCCACCTCAGCGGTCACCTCCCCAGCAGCCAATGAGGTGCCACCCCTTCGGCAATGGGCCGGGCTCGCGAACTAACCTACCGGCGGAGTAAAACCCTACGGATCACACGGACAACGAACGCCCACAACGGCCTATACGCTTGTCGGCTTCACAAATGCCAGCAAAGCGCCCGCAACGGCTTGGAACGTCATGAACGCCCGTAACGACCACAGAACCAAAGGAACAAAGAACCCGCAGCCATCGGCCTTCGTAACGACCCCTGATGATAACTCTTTACAAGTGATCTGCGCACAAGGGTTCTCCCACAGGGTTACCTTGGCCAGAAAATCGCCATAAGGGTTGGATTCAGGGGCACTACGGAGAGGCCGCTTCGGCCAGGGACTCAAGCAACTCCTTCACCCCTCACACTCTTCGGCCTGAAGCAGTGGGGGACTGGGGGACTACATCGGCCTCAACAATACAGACAAAGGAAAAATGCAAAGAACACAAATGTAACCACAAAGCATGGCCACATCGTCCATGTATCACAACGGCGCCAAGGTTTTCGTGACTCCATCTCCGGCCAAGTACTCTGGACAACACGGCGCCTCGTCGGCCAAAGGCACATAACACCATCAGCAACGGCCAACAGGCCACCTAAGGCAAGGACATTCATCGTCCTCCGCCAACAGTTAATCATAATGGGCTCTTCGGCCAAGAACACGAAATCCAATTAGCGACGGCCAAAAGGAGTGCGCAAGCACCCTCATCGGCCACCCAAAGGAAAGGACGCCCATCGTCCTAGAAGCAAGGTTCAACCTCAACGGCCTCATCGGCCCAAATGTAAATCTCAACCATCAACGTCCAAGAAAGGGAAAACGCGCCTTCAACGGCCACCATCGAAGCAGGACACTCATCGTCCCCAAATGAACACACCAAGGAAACAACGGCCTCCCCGTCCACAGCGAGGAGCAGGTAACGGCCAAAGCACAGAACAAGATCACAAAAATGGAAACAGCGCCAACGCCGCAACAGCTAACGGCCTGGGAGTGCCCGCATCGGCCAAAAGCACCAAAACACGGGAATCTACTCTCCTTCACTTCGTCTACGTCTCAGCTTAGAGAGTGGGGGACTCCTGATGGAGTATATGGGTCTAAGCCCCAGGACCCACATACTCAGACGAACAGAAAGCACAAGACACTGAGTGGTGCCCTCGTTGGCCAAGGGACCCCCGCCGGTCGGAAAGGTACCAACTCAGAATATGGTCCTGAATCCAAGGAACCCGGGTGCCCTCGTCGGCCGCGCCCTCGTCGGCCACGAAGACCTCACAGAACCGGATTTTACACTTACTCATTTGTACAGCCCATTAGTGGCTTTGTATTCGGCCTAGTAGCGGTCCAGTTGTAAATGGGCCTCCCAAGCCCAAGGCTTGGGAGCCCAGCCCGTATTTTCCCTATAAATACTTCCTCTGGAGGTAGTTATCAGGGTTACAAAATCATTCTATTGAAGCATATTATTGCACTTCTCTCTCTAGCTCTCACTTCTCTCTAGATATACTCTATCAATGAGTGTAGCTTTTAGAAATTTCAAATCTGAGCTGCGAACTGACTTTATCTATCAACATGAGCATGAGCTGCAGAAGTTAGCATTACCTCCTGCGGAGTACAAACACATTTCGAAGAAAGAATGGAAATTATTTGTGAGGAAGACTTTCTCCGAAGAATTTGTGTTAAGTTATACTCTTACTCAAGATTTTGTGCTAAGTTACACACCTACACTTTGAGTATTTCTTTGTTTCATTTTAGGAGAAAAACAATAAAGCGAAAGAGCGCCGAAAAAAGCACAAATTGAACCATCGATTGGGTTTTACTGGATATGGAGGCTTGATTTTAAAGAAGGTTTTTCATCAATGAATATCAATGGGTTCTACTTATTCATCCATTATATTAATATTGAATTTATTCTTCTTCTAACTTCCAGCACGAAGAACTTGGAGTCAATCTGGAAGACATTGATCGTTGTGATACGTGGTTGCTTGGCAGGAAAAGAAAAGATGGGACTAATGATGATGATGTCAAAGAAGTGGCAAATGAAATAGTAAGTGTAACTTTGTTTTTCCTATTTAAAAATGTTAAAGTAGAACTTCTTTAGCAACTAACTTCGTTCCCTCTACCTTTGTTTAGGAGGACCTGAAGCGCAAAGTACAGGAGGGGTCGTTTTTGCCTAGTGGGGATGCTGATGTTCTTTCCATTGCTCTTCAGAAAAAACCCAATGGCAGTAGAGTTCAAGGGTTGGGACACTTCATAACCCCAATGCAATACTTCCATAAGCCAAAAGAGACAAGAACTAATCGTGAAAAGGAGCATGAGATGTGTGAGCAAAGGTACAAGATGATGGTTATGAAGTTTGAAGAAATGATGACACAAGTGTCGCATGTCATAAGTGAAATTGGAAGTTCAAGTATTCCCAACAAATCTCCTATTGTAAAGGTATACACACATTCTTATGTTTTGAGTATTCCCAACAAATTGGCACTTTATAACTCTTTTGTAATGTAATTCTTAGTTTAACAAAGATTTATTTTCAGCATAGACTACATAGTGAAATATAGTTAAATAGACAAACTGGTGCTAAATACACATGGATATGGATATGGTATATATTTCAAAATGATACTAGTAATAAGTAACATATGTGTTTGTATATATTTATATCATTGATAAGCTGCTGAAAAGATAGATCAACAAAAACTTACTCCGGTGAAGAGATGTCGTGTTACTGTCCCCAGGAACTCCCCCCCACACAGCTCCAAGAATAAGAAGCCCAAGTCAAATGAGAGTGAAGAAGAAGGAGATACAAAAGGAAAGCAAAAGGTATATAAATCCAACGTATTTTTCAATATTATTTGTATCTCTAATGTTATCTTGATGTTGATAAATTAAATACAATAGCTTTCCCTAATAAGGCATTAACGGTATGCATATATGGCGTGTATGTTTATGAAGTTATTAACCTATTAATCTTCTGAATTTTGGTTATTAAGGCAACTGAAGTGCCAGAAGAACAAAACTTGACTCCCCAGAAAAAACATCTTGCAGCAGTTTCAAGAAAGTCCCCGAGATTCATGCAAATGAAGAATCTTCCCGAGGAGAGTGTAGTTAGGGCAGCTAACAACACATGCATAAGTGAAGCATCACGAGAACAGGTTGTGAGTGAACTAGGTGCTACTAAAATAAAGGTATTATTTAATCATATTCTTTATAATATAATAATCCGAATTTATGTTTTTTTACATTAAACTATGTGTCATAATTGTGGAAATAAAAGATTATTTAATCATCTTCTAAAATGTATTTGAGGTTTGTTGAGGGTAAGTCCCGTAGATCCGAAAGCCCAACACGAACTTTGGATATATCAGGAATGACCCAGAATCAAAGCGTAAAAGAAAATATAAGATCTGATCTAATCTAAAACTCGAAAGCTCACTTGTATTAATTAACCAATCTGATTACAAGGAATTTCCCGATCGGTAAGCCGAAAACTATGTTTTAATACAAGAAGTAAGGGCAAATGATGCTATTCTAGAGCTTGAGTATTGAAATGCTAACCCTTACAATGACTTGAAACCTTCTATTTATACTAATGGAGAGCATGGGCTGCCTCTTGCTGATTGGCCGTTGTTCCACCGACTTGGTCATCCATGCTTCCACTTGCTGATGTCATAGTCTGGCATTAACTGCACCTGGCCACTTGCTGGTTGGCCGTTGCTCGAATGGGATGTTGGTCCGTACTGAAGATGCTGTCAAATTGGCCCAAGTATAATATATGGTCCGAACCTCGTTCGGTATGTCTTCTTATTGGGCCAACCTTTATTTGGGCCGAACCCCGTTCGGTATGTCTCCTTACTGGATCTTTTCATCATAGAGTGATGGGCCTGTTACTTGGGCCGGATATCTTGGGCCTTCCCGATCTGGGTATTGGGCCTCTAGGTCAATATCCCAACACAAGTCCCCCACTTCCGATGTCTCGAACAAAGTGAGTGCATCAGGAAGTATACCAATGTCATAATACCCCGAATGGCGATCGGGGTACAGAAGTAATCAGTTCCCCATGCTGCGATTTGACGGCTGCCGCTTCATTTCCCCATATTCATCATGATAATCGTCGTTTAGTCTTTTCATTAGACGCGTGTTTAGCCTCAATGCTCCTAGTGATGTGTCGCTCTCTGATTGGTTCTCGACACGGCGGTTTCAAGGCTATAAATTAGCCCTTAACTCCTCAATTCCGGGTTTCGACTCTGCAATTCCTTGGCCTTCGTTGTTTCCTCTGCAAATTTCCCCCTGCTTCCCTTGCTCAGGTAATTTCCCAACTTTGGATTCCCCATCTTCATTTCTGGCTTCGATCGAGATGAGCCCCAAAGAGCATTCCTCTGATTCGGAGATGGCCTCTCATGGAGATGACCGTGACACCGCCATTGTAGATGCCATCCCAGTTCCGTTTGCCGGTGTTTCTACTGAGACGACGACGAATACCAGGGCTGAGGCGGAGGACCTCCCTAACACTTCTTCTTCCTCCAGTGAGGATTCTGATGACACCAAATCCGAGGACGAAATAGCCTCCATGGCGGCCGGACGTCCCAACGATGTTCCTCGCCATACTCTTGACCTAAAATTGATTAGGGAGAGGAGGCAAAAATTGACCTCTCACAATAGGGCCGAAATTCCGGCCCTTATCCCTGACCCGGTGGATTTCCGTTTGCAAGCCGGGCTTCACCCAATGCGTCATAGGCCCGGAATGACCATAGTCCACTTTGACTCGATTAGGGCCGGCCTTAGATTTCCGCTACACCCCTTTTTCATTTCTTTCTTCAATTTCTACGAAGTTGTACCGGCCCAGATTATGCTGAACTCTTATCGAGCAATGGCGGGTTTCATTTGTCGTTGCAAAGACGCCGGCGCCCGACCAACCCTAGAACTCTTCCATCAATTTTTCAAAGTAGCCCCCCAACAAACCCATGGCTATCTGGCCACTAGTGCCCGAACGGGACACATCCTGTTCAAAGGAAACCCAACTTCGATCAAAGGGTGGAAAGACCGGTTTTTCTTCGTGTCCATCCCGGACGGTCTGATTCCCCGCAAATGGAATGCCTTTCCCCGCAAAACCCCTGATCCTGTCCTCACTGAAGAAATCTACAAGGATGTGCTTGCTGTGGAGAAGGATAAATGCATGGACATCATGAATTATCTGACCCCCGAATGACTTATAACAACCGGGATAGGTACTGCCCGTTCTCTTGGGTTTACTTGTTTTGATAAACCAAGTGCCTTGGTTCGGGCGGTCCTTCCCGTGCGAGAAACGTTCTTTTATTCTTTTTTCTAGTTTCTCACACGCTAGGGCCGCTCGATACTAACATTGTTCTTTGTCTTTTTTCAGCACCCAACCCAGATCTTCCTATGGATGATAGCAGAGTCATCGCAGCCGGTGGGGCCGGAAAACGGAAGAAATCCAGGAAGAACCCACAACCTACTCCCTCCATTATTCCCGCTCAGGAGGCTGCCCCTTCTGAACCGCTTCCAGAGCCTCAGCCAATACAGCAGGTCCACCAGGACCAATTAGAGGCCATGCTGATCGACGAGCGGTTCGGCTCTGATCAATTGCACCAATTTTCCCAGCATTTTGACTCCGTTCGGGGAGAACCCTCAAATGCTGGCGAGACTAACACCGACCATATTACGGGTCAGGTCGAACGGATCTCCCTATCCGACCCTGTCCATGAGGTATTAGAGAGGGCCGGCTCTACTGCGAGCCAGATCTGGTCAACCTCCTCTTGGTTCAACAACTTTTCCCTTCCTCAGTTGCCGGTCGAGCAATCTGAAGAATGTCTGGCTCTGACTGCTCTGAAGGTACATTGTCTTTTGCGCTTTGTCTTTATTTTATTCTCTGTAACCAGTACTAATTTTCGAACGGTATTCTGTAGATGGGCTTGTACACCCTTCAGATGCGGGAGGCCCGCCTGGCCAAGGAGCGGGAACTGATTGTTGCCTAGTCTTCTGCTGAGCAACATGCTGCTGCTGCCATCGCCTCTCTGGAGGCCGAACGGAAAGCCTTTGCGGAGGAAAAGCAGAGGCTGGATGCTGAACTCGGTACCCTTCGGGTCCAACTCGCAGCTTCTCAGGCGAAGGTCCTTGCCGCTGAGGCCGCACAGGTTAGATTTGAGGAAATGCCATCCAGCATCCCGGACGGTCCGTATGAAGTGAATGTGGATCTGTCCGCCGTCCGGGATACGTTTAAATCCTCTGATGAATTCTCCGCCATCAAGGATGATCATGCAAGGGCCCAAATCCCGTTCGCCTTTGGGGCGTATTTGAAGGGTTTCCCCAAAGGCGCTGGTCGGCTATCGGCAGGGGTGGCCCTCTTAGATAAGGACCCCGAGGCCAAAAAATGGAACAACTCCATTGTCTCAGAACTTTATGGCAAAATTGGCCAGGTCTTGCTGCGTCCCTTCGTCAATCAGCTTCAAAATCATCTGGGGAGGCCGGTTCAGGCTTCTGATCTCCCCGCAGATGACATTATCCAGACTCAGTTTGAGAAATTCCTGCGAGCTCAGCAGAGGGAAGCCGATCGGGCTGCGGGGAAAGAGCCTGAACCTCTGTCTGATGATGATGAGGATGAAGAGGGAGATGAAATGGCCCCCGATCAATAATTGATATGTATTGTAATTCTTGTTGTAATTTTCTTTCTTCCAAGTAGCCTGTATTTCCCGGTCAGTAGTACCGATGAATATATATCCCTTTTTTGCCTGAAACTTGGCGTACTGTCTTTTCTGTTTTTAATGCATGATTTACTCACCATTCGGGATTCGGCCTGTTTCGTAGGACTTAACCAATTTCCTAACTTATTTCTTGCTCAAACAATCTTAACGCCGTTGATCGCCGTTCGGGCATTAGAAAGTTCTGATAATTTATTTAAGGAAAAAACCCCTCCCCCTGGTACTCAGCCGTTCGGGCTTCATACCAAATTTTAGGACTTGGCACATTCTTGCTTCAGATAATCTCTTACAACTTGATAGCCGGTCGGGCTTTGGTTCAATCCTTAGGCTATCTTTTTATGACGTTGATAGTCGGTCGGGTTTCAGGTCAACTTTTAGGACTTGGCAGTTTTCTCGGTTTTCTTTGCACCTCGGCTCCTTCATAACATTGATAGCCGGTCGGGCTTCAAACCAATTTTTAGGACTTAGCCGTTTTCTTCCAGATAACCTTTTACAATAATGTTGGCCGGTCGGGCTTCAGGTTGACATTTAGGACTTAGCATTTTTCTAAACAGCAAGCCCCAGTGATCTTCGCTAATCCTCTGTAAGCCCGTCCGGGGTACGTGCACAAAAAAAATGAATCATAAATGTCAAATTAGTCGTAACCACCCAATGCCACGTGTTGCTCATGGATTAGGGATTTGTACGACATTTTCCCTATTTAAGGAGAGGTGCTTCACCTAATTTCTCCTGCTGTTTTCTCATTTTTCCTCAAGCTTTCTCTCTCTAGAATCCTCAGAATTCCCTTGCATACTCTCAGGCTTCCTCTCTCTAGAATTCCCAGAGTTCTTTCAGCGTTTTTTATGTACTACTCCTCTAGCTCAGAATCTGAAGAGATGCCTTTGATTCGCAAAAGCAAAACATCCGCTGGTAACCAGGCCGAAGGCTCTTCGTCCCAAACACCTAAACCTGCCAATCTTCCGGCCAGCAAACATATCGAACTGCCACAGGAGGACGGATGTCTGTCCGGAGATGACCTCCAAGTTTACAACAAGGGGATGCCCGAGCGGCCACCCCGCATTGCCCTTCACTTCAATCGCATACGCAAACACAAACAACGTCTCCCAGAAGATGTTGAACGTCAACTCAGCCAGTTGTTGCCCCCACCAAGAGAATACTATGTCGGATTCATTCGGCACCCTATGAGGCACCGACCGGGGCACGTGCTAGTGCAACTTGATGCTCTGACTGCTGGACTTCGGTTCCCTCTCCATTCATTTATAGTGGAGTTCTTACGCCGGGTTGTTGTACTGCCCGCTCAGTTCGTGCCCAGCTCCTATCGCATTCTGACAGGCTTCATTATCCGGTGCCACGAGTTGAGGATTACCCCCAGCGTTGATCTGTTCCTTTATCATTACTGCTATCAGCCCTACTGGACGACCGGATACCTGAAATTGGTAGCTCGTTCTGACCGTCAGCTGTTCACAGAG